ATCCCTAACCTGCGTAGCCACCATGCCGACACACAGTGACCCTTCTAGTGACAGATCAATGCGTGTTAACTACGTCTGCTATTTTTACTAGTTCATCCCTAACGAGGGATGGTTTCAGAACCATCGATTCCATCAAGCTGGCTACCTCTGTAAGTTCTCGCCCCTCACTGTGCGTCAGAAGTACGGAGGGAGATTTTTTTTCCTAAATACGTCCAGGCCCTATTTGGATTTGGGTTCAACTGGTCTGGGGCTGAGCCAGGCAACGGAGTTCTTTCTATGACTCTCAAGTTGTTTATAATTTGCAGCCAGGATTAAGAACCACATACATGTCACGTGGGAGCCCCTTTAAGTTTCCATAGAGAGGCCTCTCCGGTGTCACATGATAGCCAGGATTAAGATCCACGTACGTATGTGCCCACAGAAATACATCGGTAAGGTCTTGCTCCACCGAATCCGCGCAGGCCGGGCCGCCTCTGCCGGGCTGGACGAGGCTCGCCTAGATGCTGTGACGACGAACTCGAAGTGCTGTGGGATTCACACCCACGTCCGAACACGGCTCACCCAGCATCAACTCCCACGAATCCCACCAGATGCGGCCCCGACACCCGGCACGACCGAGCTCTGCCTGGGGCACACGCCCCCTCGCCCCTCGCCCCCGCGGGCGCCAGGCCCTCCGGACGCGTGCGTCACCGCGCCCTCGCCTCCCGCGCCCCAGCCCCCTCCCGCCCACGGCACGTGACTCGACACGCGCCAGCTGCACGCGGGCTCCATCAAAACAAAAACAGAGGAGGCCGGCCGGCCGGGCGGCGGGGGCGCGCGGGGGCGGCGGGGAGCGGGCGCGCCCCCGCCGCCACTGCCCAGAGCCGCGGCCGCGCCTCCGCCGCTCCGGGCGCCGCCGGCCGCGCGCCCCGGCAGGCCGGGGGCGGGAGGGCAGAGGGCGCCACCCTGTTTACAGCCCTCGCTCGGGGCCAGGGACCCCGCCCGGAAACGGTTTCCCGGGAGAGCGCTGTGAAGTGCGCACCCACCCGCGCCCGGGACGCCGGCCCAGCGGAGAAGGCGCCCGGCTCCGGCCGCCGCTCGGAATAAAACCGTCGCCACGACTCCGGGGTCGGGCCCGCGCGGGTCTCCGCTCGCTCCTCCGCGGCTCACCTCCCACGGGTGTTTCGTGTCCGCCCCCGGCACGACTGTGCTACGCACCTCACCCCTATCTCTCGGCTCCAGCGCTTCCGCAGACCACCCTCACGTGGCCGCCGCCTCCCGGCCTGGCAGTCCCCGCCGCCAAGGGCTGCGGACCCTCGCGCACCAAGGGACCCGGCGCCGGCTCACACCCCGTGGGACGCCTCCCCTGTCGGACCACCCAGCCCGCATTCCTCCCGGGGCCGGGGGGGGGGGGGGTGGTGGTGGTGGCCACAAGCTGTCAGATTCCTAGTTTTCCACATGACGAAGCTCACCCTCACCCTTAAACATCCCCACTCACCCTTCAGCCTAGCTTCGAGCTGAATCAGTATTTAAAACGGGAGGAGTGGGGTGTAACGTCTTGATTTTTCTCCCTAATTTGCAAAAAAAAAAAAAAAAACATTAAGACGCAGCTCTGCCCATCCACGTCGTCCCACAAAATGCAAGACTTACGAAATAGAAATGCCCACCACACACCTGCTACGCAACCAGCCCTCTGGAAACCTGGAGACCCACCCAGCCCGCCTGCAGGAACCTGCGCCTGGGGTGGGGTGGGAGCGCGACAGTCCGGTCCCCTAAAGTAAGAGGGAGTGAGAAGGGCAGGCACCCCCTCGCCCCTCCCGGGAGCGCTGTCCTCCCGGTCTCCAGGCCCAGAGCAATCCGAGGCATCCTCCGTCCCTCCCGGCGAAAAGGAGGTAGCCAAAGGCCTTAGTGCCAGGGGTGTTTTTCCCTTTCAGAACCCAGACGCCGCGTCCTCCCCGCGTATCCCCCGCCACCCTCCCCCCGCCGCCTGCTTTCTCGTGGACAGCAAAGGTGGGGTAGGTGGGAGAAAGCGGCGAGTGCTCTCCGGATTCGGGATGTTGGTCTTCGCGGAGTGAAGAGGTGGGATCTCGAAATGGAAACAGTCTCCCCCTCCCTCCCCCCCCTCCTCCTCCTCCTCTTCTGTTTACCTCAAGTTTGAATTTTATCTGCGCAACATTAGCTGGAATGCGGACATTGAAAACACACACACACACACTCTCTCTCTCTCTCTCAACCCGGCAGCAGCTCCGGAGGAACCATGTGGCATGAAGCCACCTCAAAGGGGAAAAAAGTGCTCTTAGCAACACAAACATGGCGAAATCGCCTCGGCATTCCCGGCCAACGCCACAACCCCTACCTTCCCTCGCCCGGCTTCCGAACATCCCAGCCGTGACCTGCGGCCCCTTCCGGGGGGAGGCCAGGGGCCCCGGGGAGTCCGAGGGTGGGACCGCCGGGCGTGCGAAAGAGGAAATAACAAGAGTCCACAATGGAAATGTTTCTGCTGGACCATCCGACCCATCCTCCTCGCCAGCAGCGGGGGGACGCCTCGTTCACCTCGACAGGGCTCAACGGAGAACAAAATTCCCACCCCAAAGTCCTGCTGGGCCGGCTCTCCCCACCCTCCAGAACTTACCTTGGGGCGGAACGCACGCTGCCGCTAGAATCCCTTTCTCTTTCCTTCTAGAGCGAGACGCAAGGAGGCAAAATGATGCGCACGTATATTTGTAGAGCATATTCTTCTAGAATTTCCCTTTGATCGTCACGAGGAGCGATGGAGGCTCCGGAGACAGGTGCGGTGGTGGCCGAGGCTTCCGGCTAAAAGTTGTTCTCTCCGCGGTGGGTGGCGGAGTCCCCGGGCCGGGGCTGAGGACCCCGTCTCCCTGCCCACCTCCCCCCCCCCCCCCCCCGCCCGGCGTCGCCCACTTCTCGCAGGCTGCTGCGTGCGGCTCGGCTGCAGGGGAGGTGGCGTAGTTTCTCTTCCTCCCACCTCTTCTCACTCACTTGTTTTTGTAGCCGTGGGCTCCCCTAATGCTTTCCTCTCCACAATGTTGTTTCATTATATCATGTCCATCATGTGACACCGGAGAGGCCTCTCTATGGAAACTTAAAGGGGCTCCCACGTGACTGCAGCAGCAACAACAGCGGCAGCGGCTGGAGTGGCGGCGGCGGCCGCAGCGTTCCTGCCACCACCCACCGGGAGCCCCTCGCAGCATCCCGAAGGGGCTTCTGGAGCTTGCAGAAGCCCAGATAAGGGAGCCACAGCATCCGGGAGCTGTGGCGTCTGTGCGTGCGTGTAGCCTTTGCTCGTTACATAGGAAACCGAACAGAAGGCGCGTCCTTAAATCCTTTCCCACAGTCGCAAAACCCACGCTCTGCTAAAATGACATTTCGTGGCTCCTACTTTATTTTCCCCAAGAGCAAGTTTTCTACCGGGGCTGATGAATTTTTACAAAGTCAAAAAGAAAAACCGGATTTCTCTCTAAGAGTTCAGCCGGCTCTTGGGTAGAACAGAAATGACAGAACAATAATAACAGAAATAGAACCAGGCATTTGATACATAATTACCATCACCACCAGCTTTAAAGCTTTCTGGAATTATATTCCTCCGGTAACTGTTGATGATGCTTGCAGGAGGCTAAATGCAATGCAGTTTTTCTCTTCCGCAGCTATATTAGGGCTTTGTTGCTGACAACAGTAAAAACTTGTTTGTGTCAGGAAGTGAGGTACGAAGATATGACCTGGAAGGTACAGACAAAACCAAAGTGGCAGTTTTTGCATTACTTTTCTGACCACATTCTTTCAAAGGGTGAGAAGCAGCTGGTTTGCTGTAAAATGCGTAGCGTGTGTTTTGGTGGGAAATAAAATAATCACAAAAACATATGTTTCCCTTAATCATACTGTACATGCTAGACACTAGGAATTATATATATGTATCTATGTGTGTATGTATGAGTATAGAGAGAAAGAAGAAGAGCAGGTGCATTTTTAGAATAGTTTTAGCCAATAATTTTGTCATTTCTAGTGCATTTAACTGAAACACTTAGCAAACACTCTGAAAGACTTATTCAAGTTCCGTGTTGTGTGGAAGCCGTAACACCAGTTTTGAGTGCCCTCAGTATTACTGAATCACAACCCCTGTAAGTGCTTATGCCTTAAATCCCAAATCTCTGCCTTAAAGTTTTTGTGCACCATGGAGATTTTATGCTGTAAAGCTAAGCGAAGCAGCTATTTCTATGCTTTAGTTCATGCTTTTCCATTTATAAGGAAAACTCCCTGTATGCACTAGCGGAATTCTGAAAAACTTCTCAGGAAACTAAAGGGTGGGATGGGAGATCATCCTTTCCTTTGGCTTTGCCTCGACTGTATCTCTTTCCACCTCATCAGTTTACCTCATCAGCCATGATGAATGATCTCCACTACATCACTTCTAATGCCCCCAATTTTTACCTTCCTATCTAATGCCTCATTCTTCCATCCCTTTCCCTTTTTGTGCCCTTGCCTCCCAATTCAGCCCCCATGCCGCCTGGGTACTTAGCTCAGGCCTCCGCCAGGACTCCCTCCCAGTCCTCCTCGCCTGGCAGCTTCCCCCCACCCCCCTTCCCAGCTCCGTCTCCCTTCTCAGCAACTCTCCCTCCTTACCTCTCTTTGACCTCCTTTATTCTCCTTCACAGCCTGGCCCTTGACTTCTCGGCCTCTTCTTTCCCTTCTTTACCTGCAACGTCCTACCCCTCCTGGGGTCTCCTTCGCACCCTTCTGTCGGGTCCCATCCCTTCTGACGCCAAACCCCAGCATTCCTCAACGGCTCGGCCTGGTCGGCTTTAGCCCGATTTTGTTCCCGAGCCCCTGCGCTGGGAAACAAGTGTGCGGTGCAGAGTTGGGGCAAGAACCCCCCCCTCGGCGGTGGCCCCTGCCTCGCCCCCCTCCGCCCCTCCCGAGTCCCGGTTGCGGCGCTTCCTGGGCGGATGGTTGGGACTCGCTGCAGCAGCTGCGGTTCTGCTGTGTCATGCAAGAAGGAGGCGGCGGCGGCGGCGGCGGCCGGAGCTGGAGGGGGAGGAGGGGAGGAACCTGATCTCTCCGGTAGCGAAGGGCTGGAGGCAAACACCGAGCTCCCCCAGAGCCGCCCGGGAGCAGGGAGGGCACCGCTACCGCGAGGGGCCCTCCCCGCGGGGCAGATGGTAAGTGGGGCGGCGCAGGTGGTCGCCTTGGGAAGGGAGCGCGCAGGGGGCGGGGGGTGGTTAGGTGGGGTGGCGGGGAGAACCAGGAGTCACCCGGCCAAACTGAAGGAGCCCAGCGTCTAGTTGAAAGGGACCCAGGCCATAATAGGGATGACCAGCCAAACGCAGCAATAATTACATTCTAATAACGCCCCGCCGTTGACCCAGGCTACAAAGAAGAGTTGTGCATCCCGAACCCAGGACAGAGCTAGAGCAATGATTCAGGGTTTGAGAAAACCATCGTCCCATCAGGCTTGGCGCTTTAGGGTACAGATGAGTAGCAAAAGTCAGCATACACCATATTCCTATAGCCCGGCTGCGCTTTACGGGTTGTCTTGTTTAAAACTAAGGAAGGGGATGGAAACCTGCCCAACCTCACTTTAGCCACCAAAATAATGCTCTTGGCCAGTGGCCTCGGACGAACATCCTCTGGTGCAATTAAACAATCAATAGGAAAAATAGCTTCATTCCCCCTCACCACCCTCCTTCCTCAAGCTCCTTCAACCAGGATAATTTATTCTGCATAAAGGGGAAAGAAAACTGTGTGTTAAAGTCCCTCCCATCTTACCCACCCCCCAATCTCTGCCCCACACAAACTGCCCACCCCACTATTCACCGCACTTTCAGACTGTGATGGATGTTGCAGGAGGGGACTGCCTTAAACTCTCAGTCATTTCCCCTCCATTGCCCTTTACCCACAGGAGATTCAGAAACAGAGAACCGAGAGCAGTGAATGTGGGGACAGGTTGGACACATACTAACATGACTTCTTTTACCCGAGAACAATTCTCAGGACAACTTTTTTTTTTTTTTTTTTAAATTCCTTCCCATTTTGCTCCTGGAAATTTCAAAGCACTTTCTGAAATATCATTTCTTTCTTTCTTTCTTTCTTTCTTTTAATGTCAGTCATACATTTAGAAGTAAGGGGTTGGCGGGATTAACTGAAAGGCTAATGACGGTCTCAAAAGCACATGCTGTTGCTAGGGAACTCAAGCTCATCCTGCTCCCTAACCACTAGCATGTTCAGTGGAAATCAAACTTCTCAGGGTGTTATTAAACTGAGTGGCATTTGGTTAAAGGTGTTCTTCCTTGCTTTGTAGCATCCTGGATTGTTATCGATTGCCTCACACCCACGTATCTTGTTTTCCTAATTTGATTTCTGTATTTGCGTCACTGCCAGGGACACACAGACTAGACCAGTCAGGTTCACTTCCTGTTTCTCGGAACTGTTTTATATTTGGTCTCCGTGCACTAGCTGGTAAAACATTATCAAACTGATCCTCTTGGAAAGAAATCTGTGGTTTCCGTGAAAACAAATTATCCCAATTAAAGTCTGATTCCCATGGAAAACGTCATCATTTGAGGAATAAATTAGACTGCCAGTTGCCATTTGAGAAAGCCATTCTTGAAATGTAAAGCTTAGAAAAATCCATCATCTTTATTTCCTTTACCCAGAATCCTCATTCCTCACCGTTAGAACTAAAACAAACTCAAGTAGAGAGTAGATTTAAGTATGATATTTCTAAAATGAAGCCCAAAAAATACACATTGAAGCTGGGGAAATCATTTAGACTAAATAAGGCACGGAACTGAATGGAATCCAGGCCCCGGGAGCAGAAATAAGGTTGGGTTAACATTGGGGTGCTCAGAGAACAGAGCGTGATTACAGGGCTACTCACAAACGGGAACCCATTACTTTACATACTAATTGTCTCTTTTACCAATTCTGCCTGGGCGAGACAGCCTTGCTTTCTTTTTTAAGGTCCTTTCTTTTTATGACAAGAATACCACAAAGGCAATATCATAAAAATAAGCACTATGTAAAATGTTAGGTGGGTTCTGATGTAGATAATTTGTTTAGATAGAAAATAAAAGGGTGCGTGGAGGAAAGATCAGTGGACTGAAAGACAGGAAATTTGCTCCTACTTGTCCTCTAGACTCAATGACCTTGGGCAAGCCATTATAGGTCTCCTCACCAGTTTCCTCAGAGAAGCTTAATGAAAGTGCTGGACTAGAGATCTCTAAGGTTCCTTCCATTTATAAAGTTCTGTGATCACATTGAAGTCACTACATAAAAATTTCAATTTTAGCTAGATTTTGCAATGTTAAATTTTAGCACCGAAACTTGAATGCCTATCCATAGAGACCTTGGGGGAAGTGATAATGGGAAGTGATTTGCTGTTGATACACCGTTTTTTTAGTGCCAGTTGCCAGACAATCAAAATAAAATCAACCTTATTCCCAACGTACTTACTCTCTGCTTCCCTGATGGTGTTGTAGAAGCAACAGGATAAGAGTTAGAAAGAATATAAAAAGTGTATGGAACGATCTTTCAGTCACTTTACATTTAGTTAACCCAAGTACTTTGATGAGCAAAACCATAGAGTGATGAGGAAGAGGTCTACAAGAAGTAAATAATCAATTGAATCCTCATGAAGCTAATAATCTTTTTTTAAAAAAGAGTTTTATTTATTTATTTGACAGAGAGAGACACAAGCAGGAGGAGTGGGAGAGGAAGAAGCAGGCTTCCCCCTGAGCAGGGAGCCCGATGCGGGGCTCGATCCCAGGACCCCGGGATCATGACCTGAGCCGAAGGCAGACGCTTAACGACTGAGCCACCCAGGCGCTCCATAATCTATTTGTCTATATTTTAATTAGTGATAGGCAAAAATACATGTAGCACAGATTTCCAAATGTTACAGGTTGAAGATGTTAAGAAGTATCATGAGGAAATGTGAGATTTGTGCCACAGAGAAAGGAGCTGACTGTGAAACCCAACTCTGCCACTTTATTCATTCATTACTGAGTGCCGCTATGTGCCCGGCTCTGTGCTGGGCACTGGGAATACAAAAATGAATAGGACAGCCTGCTCTAAAGGACCTTATAGGATAACGGGGGCACAGATGAGGACACGGTTGATCACACAACAGTGAGATTCTATCAACAGGGAGCTTATTACAGGGGTACCTAACCCTGACTGAGTTTAGTTAGGGTCCCTCACCAGAGAAGATGAGTTTGGAAATGAGTCTGGAAGGATAAGTAGAAGTAATCCAGACAAGTGGGCAAGTTAAAGAGAAATGTGTTCCAGGCAAAGAAAGTAGTATGTGTAACGTCCTGGTAAAAGTGTCCAGAGAGTTGAAGGTGATTGACAGTGCCCGGCAAGTGGTAGGTTCTCAGTTAATGTGTTGTATGATTATGTGGCAAAAGTTCCAAAGGACATACCAAGAAAGATCAACAAGGTCTTATACTGGGAAAGGTCTTGCATGCCTTCCTAAGAGGTTTCAACTTATCCTAAGGCCATCGATGAATTTTAAGGAGCATAGTGAGGTGATCAAAAGTCCATTTTAGAAAGAAGTTCACTCCAGTTTGGAGAACTTATTAGGGTGATTAACACTATGAGCAGGGAGACTAGTTAGGAGGTTGTTTTAGTATTATAGGAAAAAAACTGATGGACATCTAAATATAGACAGCAAGAATGGAAATGGAGAAAAGGGAAGGATTCAGGAAATATTAAAGACAGACTCAACTGAATTTTATTATTGATTATATCTGCAAGATTAAGGAATAGGAGACTTATGACCTAGGTCAATAGGAGGATCATGGTACCATTTGCTAAGATGAGGACTTCAAGAAGAACAATAGGTTGAGGAGGGAAGGTAAGTAGTTTGATTTTAAAAGTGTTGAGTTTGAAATGTCCATGAGGACACCAAAGTGAAGCTGTCTCTATGTACTCGAACGGGACAGGCTAGAACTCGAGAGAGATCTACGCTGAGGACATCAGCGTAAGTGATAGCTCATGGAAGTAGATGGAATCCCCAAGAGAAAAGGTAGACAGTAAAAGGAGAAGAGGACCTACTCTGGAACCTATTCAAATGCCAGCATTTAAAAGGTGAGGCAAAAAAAAAGTGAGGACACAACGCTACAGGGGAAGACTATCCATAGAGATCAGGAGGACCAGAAACAAGGCATTTCAGAGAAGCCAAGGGAGGAAATGTCAACAGTATTAAATGCTAGAGAAAGGTCAAGAAAAATGAGAACTTGGATGTCAGGACAAGGAGGTCATTGTGTTTGACAAGAAGGAGTTTATTGGGATAAGGGGGAAAGGAGCAGATGACATTGGATTAAGGAGTGGAAGGGAGTAGAGGAAGTAGAAGTAGTTGTTTTGGGTAAGAAGGATGACAGGGCAAGTAGGGAAGGAAAATAAAGGTATTGGGAAAAGAGTAAAATCATGGTCTGTGAGGTGAAGGCTGCATAAGGAAATAATGCGATAATATGCAATTCTTCATTCTGGCAGCCTTCTCCTTCAAGCAAATGTCATGACTGCACACGAGTTCCTCAAGCCAAAAAGCATGGAGATACTCGTGGTTCTTCTCTTTTCCTCAGTTCTCATGTCCAATTCATGAAGAATTTGGGTCAACTTTACCTCCAGAATATTTCCAAAATCTATCTCTTTCCATCTCCACTGCCACCACCTAATACAAATATCATCTTCTGGTCTCCTATAATAACGTTCTCATTGGTTTTCCTGCTTCTACTCTTTTCCTTATTCTTCACAGCGAAAGTGACATAAATCACATCATATCGCTTCTCTTCTTAGAATCCTTCCATGTCTTCTGATTGTACTTGGAATAGAGTCCAGACTCCTTTGCTGGCCTGTGAAGCCTTACGGGCCATCCCAGACCACCTCTTCAATCTCATCTCCCACCGCTCTCCTCTGACTTCAATCACAATGGCCTTTTTTTCTACTCCTCAAGCACAAAGGGTTTGCTCTTATTTTAAAGTTCTCAGCTCACATACTTCCTTTTCGTGGAACGCTCTTTTGGTCATTCCCATCTGTTTAAATGTCACCTCCTCAATGAGGCCCTTCCTGACTACCCTGATAGTAGGTAAATAAAGCAAAATAAAGTAAAACTTTATTACTACTTGGGGTTTATTTTGCTTATGGCTGACAACTCCTTTGA